AACGTCCACGAATTGTTATGTTTTTTGTTGAATAAACTTTTATTAAACTAAACTGTGATTTCTTTACGTAATTTATGCGCGAAGAATATCCAAAATATAGTGAATCCAGAATAACATGACTAATGGTATCCCCCATGTCTAGTGATTTATACTTTGTATTATAGTTTGTGTTTTTCTTCAAATCATTGTTTTTATGGAAAACATTTTCACATAACTTACAAGACATACAAGTTTTGTGTGTTTATAGTTTTGGTTTCGCATAAATTTCTCAGTTTTGTTTTTTAAATGTCAACATTTTATAAATAGCGATATTTATTAAAAATCTAAAAGTTTTTTAATTAAATTAAAATTAATTGAAGAGTAAAAAGAGTATAAAATTTTAATTATCAAAATACTGTGATTAAAATAAACAAAAAACTTAAAACTCTAAAATTAAATCAACTTTTTAAGGCATAGATTTTTATAATATTGTTGAAATTGATAAGAAATGTTTGATTGTAAACGAACTTCTAGTTAAATTAGGATAAAAAATATCATGCATTTAATTAATTTATTCATTCAATCATCTAATGATTTAAAACATATCTGATTTTGATATGAAATAGTTTTTTTTTAAATCTCTTTTTGTTGAATCAGATTTAGTCTTAATATATTAATTGGTTGTTAAAAAACAAATCAGAGACAGATCTGAACGTCTGGGCATAAAATTAGAGCAAAACTGTATATCTAATCATCAAAACCTTCAAAAACTGTTTTTTCTTTTGTTATTTAGCTCTAGAAATAAGATTTGAAAATCAAATTCTCGATCGGATTATCTTAAAAATACATGAAATAAATATATGGTAAATGTGTTTACCATTTGATAAGTGGCTGAATTTGGCCGACGGGTTGGTTAATGGCCAAGTGGTCAATGAACCTGATGTTTGTTGGCTCTAATTTCGACCACAAACTATTCTTGAGGGCCGACTCCAGTGTTGACGACTGCCAGCCCGGAAGGAACAGCTCTTTTGGATAACCATTGCGTTCAATGAGTGTATGGGTTGTGTCCCCGAAAGCCGAAAGTCGGGAAAACTTAACGTTTCCTTTGGGATCAGATTCGGACCATTGTTTCACTTCTTGACCGCTATTTAGTTTGATGTGTTGAACCAAATCGTCCATTGAGTTGACATTAAACGCTATTTTTCCGCACAAAACACAACGAAATTGAGTTAACATTTCGCTAATTAGTTCTTACATAACATTACATAATAATTATGTTTCAGAAAACATAATAATTAGCATAAATATCATTAAACGTGTTATTCATTAAATATATGATAGACTTTATCGCATAGTAAGGTATATACCATTAGTCAATGAATGAGTTTATATTAGCATTGAATGCAAAAATATTAATACATATGTATATTAATATATAAATTTTAATTAAATAATATTACAAAAATATATTTGTTTATTGATTATTACTTGATTTAATACAATTAGTTTTAGTTTCAAAATCACTTAAATAAGACAGATAAAAATCTTTTTTATCATCATCTATATAATCTAACAAACATTTTACATCTCTGATTTTTTTAGCACTGATTTTAGATTTTTCACAAATATTAACATATTTTACACAATCGATAATTATATTTGTTTCAGATTTTAAAATATTATAATGTTTATCACTTTTAGCATAAGTTTCAGATAAAAATATGTCACCATTTGGTTTGATATCTATTCTACGAATTTTAGCTAATTTTATATCATTATTACAATTGAAATGAGGAGATAATACACTATTAAAATCTAATACATTTGTATTAATCAAATTAAACTTTTTACATTCATTAATTAAATTCAAATAATCATTATGTGATTGTATGATTTTTTTGCCAAATTTCTTACTAATTATACCAAAATTTGTGTCACAAATATTATAACTATGTCCTACTATTGGGAATAAATGAGTGATTTTTATATCTAAAAGTAATGAAATATAAATAGAAAATTTAATAAAAATCCAATTTTTATTTTGCCCTCCACAATTATCAGATAAAAAAACTAATTTATCATATTTATCCAAATTAATTGTAGACATTAAATAATTGATTACATAATAAATATAACTGCACACAGAATTTGCACCCTTTTTAAACTGACCCTCAATTGAATTAAAAATAAAATTAAACTTAGTTTTATGAATATGAATATTAAATAGATATAGAAATAGTGAGCGCTTATAATAATATTCATTACAATTTAATTTTGGGAAAGGTTTGTTAGCGCTGTAATCAAACTCAATGCACATGATCATTTCATTATTAATCAATTCTTGTTTTACACGTCTATATTCATCAACACTTTCCATGTGTTTTGTAAATAGATTTAAATTTGGTTTTATAGCATGTTTTGCACAAAAATTACACACATCTATTTGAAGTGGTTTAAAATTATAATTAAAATTAGTTTTAAAATATTTAAGAAATGACAAATAGCCCATTTCTAAACTATTATTATTTCTCTCATTATAATACACTTTAAATAATTTATATAATTTTGTTATATTTAACTCTGTATTAATAAAAAATAATTTATTGCATTTTAAACTATAATGAGATTTAGTGGTAGGAAATAATTTTAAAAAATCACTCATTTGTTCCCAAGTATTGGCACCAATTTGTTTAACTACATGTAAACCCCTTTTATCAGACACTTTCTCGTCTTTAATTATTTTTTTCTGTATTGTATCCAATCTTTGATTAGAAATTTGATACAATTTTACCACAAATTTTTTACAAACTTGGGTTTTATATCCAGATTTTGTGAAACAAAAGTGCCAAACATTGCGACCATTTTTATTGGTTTTATTTGCGTTTCTTGTCATTAATTTCTCTAAAAATTCACTTTGAAATGTCCAAGAACATAATGCACAAAATCTATATAATATAAAATATTAGCATGTTTATATTTAAATATAAATTTTAAATATATAACTTGTGAAATGAATCCGATTGCCATTCAATTGGTATTAATTTGTGACAATTTTTTGAACAGCAATTGTCAACAAATGTAAAATCTTTTTTTGATTGTTTTACTCCTTTAGAATTGACATAATCATTTAGCTATAAATATAAGAGTAAATAAACCTTGATTAAATAATAATAATAATAAATTATATAATATTACCGAATTTTTTAAGTATTTTCTTTGGTTTGTTTTCCAAAGGATTGGATGTTTACTTTTTTTAACTCGTTTTTCGCACAATTTCTCATTGATTTCAGTATTAATTACTAAAACAGGAGTGAATTTATTTGGAGAACAGTTTGAGATCTCTAACACTTTGTTATAAAATTTTTGGTCCATTTTTAAATAAAATTTTATTATAATTTATATTTATTGTTGTTTATTTTTATTATGTTTAATGTCTTATGCATGTAAAATTATTTACTAATTTAAACTTGTAATCAATGTATTCAATGTTATATTTGATGACTAGGATATACCTTAGTATGCGATAAACTCTTTCATATGTTAGTATTTGTATTACAGAAAATATAGTTTGTGAGAGAATTCACCGCAAAATATCATTAAATATTCAAATTTAATCCACAAATTCTCTCTTAATTAAGACAAATGGGAATTAACTTTAATTTNGATAAACTCTTTCATATGTTAGTATTTGTATTACAGAAAATATAGTTTGTGAGAGAATTCACCGCAAAATATCATTAAATATTCAAATTTAATCCACAAATTCTCTCTTAATTAAGACAAATGGGAATTAACTTTAATTTTACAGAAAACCAATGAGAAAACTAATGAAAAGGCAATAAAAGTTTTGAGAAAAAATTATTTTTAGGACAAGAAAATGAAGGTTAAGGTTAAAGGCTTATCATTGACTCCTATAGAGAGAAACGAATTGAGAATTTTTTTCTGTTTGTGAGAAACTTTTGTCAGGAGTTTTCACTTCAATAATCAATTGAATCGCTTTTTCCCAATACATCTCTAATTGATTCACATTTGATGTGAACTAAATTTTCTTAAGTTTGAACCATTATATGCTATTGTAATGTAGTTTAGATGAGATAAGACTGTGTGAAATGTCTTTACATATTATTAACATCATTAGAACCGACTCTAAAAGTGACTACAAAACTGATCCCGAGCTATGAAATGACTGTCAAAATACCCTTTCAATTGAATACTACGACAATATTATCACCAGATTTTACTCTTAAATAAAAAAGCATTAAAAGCATTGAATACCAATATCTTTGACGGCGTCTCCATGTCTTGTGATATGTGTGCAGATGTTATGGTTGTCTTCGCAATGGATTAGTGGCGACACGAAGACGAAGACGACATCGTTGTTGATGACGGCGTGCGAAGAGCGCAACCGATCGCCACTTTCGAGACCACGATATCTGAATGGACTGAATCCGTACTGAAGACAAAAATTCAGTGCCGTTTGTCTCGCATTTGAGACATAGAGAGTGACGTGAGATATCGACACACATTTAGACAACATTCTCGTTAATTGTCTTCAATTGCTATTAAGACAATACTTTCACTACAAATTTAATCAATGTTGAAATATTGTGAACTATCATCAAATATATACGTAATCTTAAATAAAAATTAATGTTTTATTTATTGAACATGATAATTTTAACAAAAAATGCTCAATAATGTAATCGCAATTCATTTTAGTTTTGTTTTACTTATTTTGATGCATATATTTGTGTTTGAATTGATTTAAAATATGTGTTAAACGCATGTCTTTAAACTTTAAATACTTTAAAGTGAGAGCAGAGCACGTGTTTGTCTTGTGTTTGTCTTGTGTTTGTCTCAAATGTCACTTTCACTGCTCCCATCTCTTCCCACTCATCCCTTGTATTCAAATGTAATCTCAATCCTCATCTCTATCTCTATCGCAATCCCATATTTCCCAAAGTTTTGACGCAAAACTAATATGACTTTTGGTTCACAAATTTGCAAAATCCTGTATTTGAATGATTTTGCAAATATTATTCGGAATTATATAATTTATTACGAAAGTACTGAAAGCTTGTAAAACAATAGTCACTAGTAATATTATATGAATATTAAATTACCACGTTTATCATAAATTGATCATTTATATATATGGCTCAAATTTGATATTACCTAGTTTCTCGATGTCAATAATGTTCTCATATGTAATATTTGATAACTAATACCATAATTATGTTAGTTTTTACCCAAATAGGATGTGTGCAAAAATAAGTCAGCGATTCTGCGGTACAATTATGCGTAACTTATTTGACTATATTATGTCATAATATGAGATGAAATCATTTTTGAATTATTTTTTAAAACAATGCCATAAAATATATTTGATTTTAGCGATTGGAAAGTGAATGGTTGGCAAACACTTGAATTTTCGCTCATATTATACATAATACTATTACGCTTACATACAATACATTGTATTATGTTTAGTATTACTAGTTTAAAGAGTATTATAGTTAATGGTCTGGAGTTTAATAAACCTCTTGGAGTGAAGAGAGAAAGAGTTAGAGATAGAGGAGAGGGACGGGAGGGCTGTGTATAGCTCTGTGTAGAGACTGCATGACTATACTGTAGTAGTGATGGCTGTCCAGCAGAAGCGGTGCCATTTGCGAGGCTTTGCCAGCCTTTGCCAGACCTATGCCTTTCTCTTTCACTCTGGCATTGATGTGACGATCAATTGAATCCAAGGCTAACCACTTAATACTTCAACCGTTTTCCATCTGAAAGGCACTGACAGACAGCACATACACAACACACCACTGCTTATCGTGTTTAGTGGAAGGGCTTAGGGAGGCATTGGCTGCCAATGACTATGGGATTGGGTTTAGTATAGCGTTCGGATGGATATACACCATAGGGTCAGCTAATTGTCTGCTCGAGTGATGACTGTTGGCAACAGTCCTTCAGAAGATGTGGTGATCAACGGATAGCCTAATAGTCGGTATGGAAGGGACGGATGGATACGCCTCTGTAGTCAATGACTCATACATTTGATTACCTGAACACCACTTTCTCTCTCTCTCTCTCTCTCTCTCTCTCTCTC